CAGGAGGGACCACCCTGAACCACAGCATCAGCAGCCAGACCGTCAGCGGGTCCGTGGGGACCACCCAGACCACAGGAAGCAACACCGTCAGTGTTCAGCTACCTCAGCCCCAGCAGCAATACAACCATCCCAACACTGCCACGGTCGCACCTTTCCTGTACAGGTAGGAACAGCCACCCACCCCTGCTTCCCATGTCACCGGGAACAAGAACCTCTCTGGTGCATTCTGGGGCTGGGAGGGTAGGATCTGGACTGCCCTCCAGGAACACGTAAGCAAATAGCTAAGGCACCACGTGGTAAGCTCCGAATAGAGGCATGCACAGTGTGCTGGAGGGAGCGGGTCACACGCATGGGCTGGGGGAGGGGCGCAGAAGGCTAAAGAGGGGAAGTAAAGTGGGAGCTGCCCCCAGGACGAGTAGGAGCTCACCAGGCATGTAGGACCCAGGCCTTTCACAGCCAGCAGCAGGTGGAGTAGAAGTGTGAAGGCCAGCACGTGCAGGGCGGGTGGCTTGGCGTCACCAGCAGGCCCCAGCAGCAGCCCTAGCACATTTTCAGCATACTTAAAAAAAAAAAAAAAACAACACAAAAACCACCTTGCTGAGTGACTGAGACTTCTCCTCACAGCAGTGAGTGCCTGGAACATCCAGATCCTCATAGTCCCTGCTGCATGTGGGTCTTTTTGAGGGGAGAGAAAGGTAATGGTAAGGGAAGGGCTGGTTCTAGAAGAACAAGAGACCCCTACGTTGTATCCAGGAGATAAGCCTGAGGTGTTTGTGTGTGACTCCGTCTTTCTGTCCTGTGTCTGTCCCCTGACCCCACTGCATTGTTGATGGCATGTCCATAGGACTGTGGGAGACTGGAGCCAGCTGCTGCTTGCGCCACGGGGTCCTGGCCGGTGGCATTGTCTAGTTGCTCACATTGGCTCCAGGTGCTGCGTGATACACGTGGATGTGTCCACTGAGGCAGATGGAAGCTCCTGGACACAGCTCTTGAGGGAGTCTCAGAGCTCTTGCTCATGGTGCTCAGCTGCGTCCTGTGCTGGAGATGCGTAGTGCGCTGGCCCCGCTGCACAGCTGAGTGCTAACTAACACCTGTGCGTAGCAAAAGGGCACTAATGATTGAATGTCGTATTCTAGACACTTATTTCATTATCCCTCACCCCTTGGTGCATACACAGACACAGCTGTACACTCAGCACACCCATGGGTATAAAAACACGTCAACAGTCACCTGTAAGTATGGCCACAAGTATACATTCATATATAAAATGCAAATGCAGGTATGCAGACACATACTTACACACCTGCTCAGGTACGTAGACTCATGCCCATAGTTTCAGCTTCCTATGTTTGTATGGCTCCCGAGAGAATTAGATAGTCCCTCTCTCCTGCCTGAGTTGTATTCTGATGGGCACTGTTACAATTCCTGCCAACAGCTGGTGGTGAGACTGGCTCGAGTGATTTCAGAGTAAACCCAGCCAGCATCTGGCCCGTGAGGGAGTGTCAGGCTCTGCCTAGTCCTTCCTTCCTTGTCTTCCGCTCGCCTTCCCCTTCAGTGAGGGTCACACCAGTCTTTTTAATTGGGAGACAGTCTGGTTTTATTGAATCAAGTCGTCAGCAGCTAACCTTCCTCAGGAGAGTGCCAAGGCTTAGATAATGACTCAGCTCATCTGCGTGCACCGCTTTTGATACAATTGTTCTCTTGAAGCATCCAGGCAACTGAATGGCTCCCCATGACATTTTATAATCCCAATAGCATTAGTAGTCTTGAGGTAATACATATTCAAGCTGCTCTTCACAGATTCTTGATTTGCATTTTCAAAATTAAAATATATGACAATCTTTGATCACCATCAATTCTGCTCCTTCCATTTTTTTTTTTTTTTGGCTGTAATCATTTGAAAGATTGTAAAACATTTAACCTCTTTTTAAAAAAACGTTCAAGCTTCTCTATGAGAAGAAACACTCTTAATGATGAAGAGCAAATGTCTGGCAGAGAGGAGGTAGGGAGAAACCTCTAGCATGTGTATCTGACTGGCCCCACTTTGCTGTTAATGCTCACTCTGGGTAATGTCCTCTTGCCCCTCTGAGGTGTCTTCCTCTTTAGGGAAGCCTGGGAGGCGAGGCTGGAAAGAAGAGCACTGGGACAGGAGTCAGGACACCTGGGCCCTGACCTTTATCAGTTCACGACGCCCTCTGTGGTCGTGGGCACCAGCTGCGAGAACAGCTATTGAGTGTGCACCAAGTGTGTGCAGACTCTGCCGAGGGCTCTTTGTGTCTTAGCTCATTTAATTCTTCCCACAACTCCATGAGCTAGCTGCTTTTTTAACCCCCGTTCTATAGATGAGCAAACTGAAGCTTAGAATAATTAAGTAACTTGCTCCAAGTCACAGAGCTCCTAACTAGAAGAGCTCGTGCATGGTGTTTAAAGCCAAGTGCGTCTAAGTAGCGGGACCACGGGACCAGGTGCTTCACCACCGTCTGTCCCGATGCTCTGAATCACCTCATCTCTCTGAGCTTCATCTGTTAGGTGAGGAGATTGGACTAGATTAGAGGACTTTAAAACATGACTGACACTCTCTCCCTGCTCTAAAATTCTCTCTCTCGAGTTTAGGGCTCACGGTGTGTAACTTAGAGTGCTCCCCCGGGACCTCTCCATGTTAAAGATGTTACTAAGGGGTAAAGAGAAGATAGATGTTTTTAAAAATCACGCAGAATGATTTTTGTTTGTCAATTCATGAGTAACAACAGATGCCTCTGTTACTCTATAGTTTACTAAGTGTTTTTGTGTCCTGTCACATTTGATTTTTGTAGAACCAGAGGAGATTGCTATTGTTATCCCCATTGTACAGGTGAGGATGCTGAGATTCACAGAGGTGAAGTGACTTAACTCAAATCTGCATGGCTACCAAGTTACAGATCTTCCACCTGGAGCCAGCTAAACGTCCAGACTTCCAAGTCTAATGTACCATCCAGCACCCAGCTTCTTTGGAGACTTAAAAATTTCTCATTTATTTAATCAACATACACTCTTCTTGAGTTGCCTGCTCAGCATATGAACTTGAACTAACCTTTGCCTTCAGAGAGCTCTTGATCAAGTTGAGGAAAGATTTGTTAATTAGATCACATTGTAATAGGCAACAGAAGAATAAGGAGAGTGTTGCAGAAACACATGAGAGGTGGCGTGATCAGCTGGCAACTAGTCAGAGGAGGCTTCTAGGCCACGATGACAGGGGAGCTGCATCTTGGAGGCAGATTAGGAGCAAACGAATGAGAAGGGCCTTTAGGCAGAAGTCACAGTAACTACAAAGACAACACTGCTAAGGGCATGGCATGATTGGGAACAGAGAAAAGCCACATATGGGTGAAGCATAAAGTAGAACTGTGCATGAAGGGTGGGAATGGCAGGAGATGGGGCTGGCAGTAAAGGAGGGAAGAATCCCATGTGGGGTATCATCTACCCCAATAAGTTTAGACCTTCTTCTGTGGGTGATAGAAATCATTGGACAGAATGATGTTATCACATCAGTAGGTCAAAGGTCAGTGGAGGATCTTGTGGGGAGTGCACCAGACCTCGGAAAAATCTCGAATGGGCCAATTCAGATGCCTAATTGGCCCAAAAAGGTAATATAAATGAGTGGCCCAGGGTGAGTGGGTCTGCAGCAGGGGGCGCTCCACGCCTCTTTAGAGGGTGCAGTCACCAGCTGGCACCAGAAGGAGGCGCTTGCAAGAACGAGAGCTCAGTCTTTGCAGACTTCATTGTTTTAACTGGGAGAAGGCAGAAATCCAGGTATTTCTTGTGAAATGTCTCAATTTTTAAATGTTGACCTAATTATAAAACTTTAAAATATCATGCAGACTAATAGAAATAAATCAGGCTGGTTCTCACACCTGGTTGCAATTGGCAACCCCCAGGCTAGAAGCAGGGTGCCTGTTTCAAAGTGCTTATAGGGCCTAGGCAGAGATGATGAGTGTTTGGACCCTGGCCAGGGGTGAAGAGGAGCACTGGGATTATGAAAATCCCTTAAAAATAGAGATAACAGGATTGAGAAGTGACAGCCTCAGTAGGAGGGCAAAGGAGGGAAGGATAGGTGGATGACTCAAGGTTTATTAGTACATCCCTATGGTCTGTGCACATCCTTGGCAAACACTTTCATCATAGGTAGCGAAATCTGGGTGAATTAGCTCAAGATGCTATTGAGTTAATAAAGTTACACTCAGGGTTATCCATCTGAGTGTAATTATACATTTGCATGCCATGCATGAATGAACAGAGGTAGTCGTGGCAAGAAAACATTGCATTAAGCCATTGCCTCAATTTGCTTGACAAATAAGGGCATGGGGAAGGTTTGGGGAAGTACAGATTTCAGTCAAGTGTTGAAATAATGATCAATGAGACCTTTCATGTCAGAAGATCTGAGCTCTGAATCAGAAACCTGGAGGGCAAACACACCTGCTTGGCACCCACTCCCAACCGGTTTTACGGTCACCTTTTCAGAGAGAGCCATCAGAGGCTTCTGGGGTGGGGGTGCTGTCAATGGAGTCATCGTTACGCTTGACTTGCTGGCGTTACTGGTTACTTAGAAGTTGCTTTTTGGCATAGGTTAAATTATCCACACCACCCAGTACCCTCTAGCATGTGTGTGTGTAGCCAGACCTGGCTCCCTGAGGGGGATTCAGAGATGCATTCCTCAGTGAGGGATTGCAGACCCTCCATTTGGGCAATGAATATTTCATCTTTTACAGTTCGGTGGCTTTCTCTGTTCTTAGGACGTTGCTCCACACGCGGCTAATGAATTATTTAGCGTCAGTCTGCTGGTCTGCTCTGTTCTAAAGCTTCTTGCTGGAGGAGGTGATGGTAAGGGCCATGGTCAGACCACAGCAGTCCAGATGTGGGGGTTGCCTCTAGTGACAAGTGTGTCTGCTTTGGTTTGTGCGTGAAGGTCCCAGACGGACACGGAAGGGAACGTTACCGCCGAGTCCAGCTCAGCGGGTGTGAGCATGGAGCCCAGCCACTACACCAAGAGCGGACAGCCTGCTCTGGAAGAACTCACGGGTGAGTATGGAGCCCAGAAATGCTGTGTCTGTTGGTGATGTGGCCTCCCACACAACCACCTGCTGAAAACAGCATGACCCCAGCTTGATTTAAAATTGCTTTACAGCTGCAATGACTGATGAACTAAACAGACTTATTTTCTTTGTTTTCTTAGTATTTTCCTTCTTCTTTTTCTTCCCTTTTCTGTCTTTCTTACTATCTCTTCCCTCCTCTTCAGAATTATAAATAAGTCTCTGACCTGCTGGTAAATTCTATTTTTAAGATATATTTGCTGACGCCACGGCACTCACTTGAGCCAGGGCAACAGAGTGAGACTCTGTCTCAAAAAAAAAAAAAAAAAAAAAAA